GACCGACGTCGCCTCCGACGCCACGGCCATAGGAACGACGAATCCTGTTGAGTCTTCCTGAAGGGCTCCTCACGGGTCCCTTCTAGCCTCTCACCTACGATAAGTTTTATGTCGATCAACGTAGGTAGGGGAGTCCAATCACACGACATCGCGCTTTCCCGAGCTTACGAGCTAGGCGTAGATGTGGTGCTAATACAAGAGCCTTTGTGGAACTAAGCCACAAAGGAAACGAAGTCACACCCTGGATACGACTGCCATACACCACATGGCGGCGTAAATATTCGACCCAGGGCTGTGACTTATACACGAATCAATACAGGGAACCTTTCGGCAAGACAAATCTTTCCCTGCAATCCCCCGACGGCGGATTACTGCGGGGTTGTGGTAAACGGATTCACGTTTCTCAACGTGTACAAGAACCCGAACGACCTGACGGCCATTCGACCACTCCTCAGCTGGGACCCACCACCCCGATCCGTCGCGGCTGGTGACTTCAACGCGGTGCACTGCGCGTGGCGACCAGAGGTCACCCGCCCACGTGGACAAGGAATCGAAATTGAGAGATGGGCGGAACGCCATAATCTAACTTGTCTGATTGTGGGCGAGCCAACGCATCGAGCCGGAAACACGCTGGATCTTGCCTGGACCAACGTCAACGGGGCCCAAGCATGGGTGGATCGCAGCGAGTGCATCACCAGCAACCATCTTCCGATTCGAGGACAAGTCCCCACCGGATGCGGAAAATGGGACCATGAGCCATCGCCGATTAGGGTAACGCGCGGAAACTTTCCGAGGTTCGCCCTTGCCGTCACGCAATTCACTCACCCGCCACCAGTCTTGGACACGGTTTGCCAGGTGGATGAATACGCCAACAATCTCTGTTCCGGCCTTACTAACGCTATCAAAGCAGCAGGAACACGAAGGAACACAAGACACGGCAAATGTGCACCTTGGTGGACACCGGAATGCAAGCTGGCTCGCACGGAGTATCGTGCAGCAGTGACTCCGGAAAAACGATGGGTGCATGCGAAGAAGCTGCGTTCAACCCTCAGAGCGGCAAGGAAAGAGCACCAGACGCGTCAAGTCGAGGCAATCACGACACCGACTGACGTGTTCAAGCTGATGCGGTCCGCCGAGCCAAGGCAGGCAAGCACCCCCCCTCCACTTAACCACGAAGGGAAGGTGTACTCCGATCCGGCCGAGCGAGCAGCGGTACTCCGAGATGCTCTTCTGGCACGACATCAAGCGACGGACGACCTACCGCCACTCGATGCGCCGAGTACCGACCGAATCCCCTGGAACGACCATGTCTCGGACGAGGAGATTCGCATGTGCACTATAGGCTGTGCCAACACAGCGCCTGGATTAGACGGGATCTCTGTGGAGCTTCTGCGAACCTGTTGGAAGAAGATTGAACCATTTGTCGGCATTCTCTCCCGCGCCTGTATCAGACTCGGCACCCACCCATCCTGCTTCAAGCTGGCTGAAGTGGTGCTCCTACGTAAGACGAACCGAGATCCAACGACTGTCAAGGGCTGGAGACCGATCGCACTTCTGTCATGCTTGGGTAAGGGACTGGAACGACTCTTGGCGAAGCGGATGGCCCATCTCGCAGTAACGCTCAACGTTGTCGGATACCAACAATTCGGAGCGCTCCCTAAGAGGTCGGCAAACGACCTTGTCAACTGCGTAGTCCACGACATCGAAGAGGCAAGCACCCAGGGATGGGCGGCCACATTCACAACTCTAGACGTCCAAGGAGCGTTCGATGCAGTACTTCACAACCGTTTGGTGAGGAGGATGCGAGATCAGGGGTGGCCAGACTCGATTCTTCGATGGACGGCTTAATTTCTTGCACATCGAAAGGTACAAGTCCGATACTCCGGAGGGGTTACTGGGCAGAGAAAGCTAGTTTGTGGGGCTCCGCAGGGATCACCGATATCGCCACTTCTCTTCCTTTTATACATGGCAGAGCCTATGCGAAGCGGCAACCCAGGAATGAGGTTCAGCTACGCAGACAATGTCGGGATCCTAGGGTTCGGGCGCAGCATTGCTGAGTCGGCCGCTTCTGTACAGAAGGAAGTGGATCATCTTCTGTAGTGGGCAAGTAACAATCCAGTCTCCTTCGATACTAACAAGTCGGAGATAGTCCAGTTTCCCGGCAGGAAACGCGAGAATCCGGTGGCTATTCGTGTGAACGGCGTGACTATCGAGCCAGCAGACCAAATACGCTGGCTTGGAATACACCTAGACCCGCGACTGGACTTCAAACATAACGTCACAACTTGGTGTGTAAAGGCATTGAAGGTTGCCCAGCACATGCGCCGTTTCAACTCAGCGTATCGAGGAGCCGCTCCTGCGGCACTGGTTCGAGCAGTGGGTACTTGTATTGTCCCAATAGCAACTGTTGGAGCAGATGTTTGATGGCCCGGCCTCAAACGTCCGACCATTAGGGGAATCATCACACCTCGTACCAGCATTTTCTGTGAGATTATCGACAAGGCAATCTTGACAGGACTGCGCGCTGCCCTTCCGGTAATGAGAACGACATCGAATCTTGTTCTCCATCGCGAAGGAGGTATCCCAACTGGAAAGATCACTCTGGAAGGGAACCGCTTACGGTTTTCGGCTCGACTGCACTCACTAGACAACCGACATCCGCTCCGGACTCGTGCCGCCATGTGTCCAAATGTTGGAACACGGAAGTACAAGAAGTCTGCTCGGGTACCCAAGAATCCGGGGATCCAGATGTCACGAGTACAGCGGGCCTACCGTCAACTCCCGGACGCGGAAGACGCCGAGCCTCTGCCGCCGCCATGCTATTTTTCGAGCTCTGGCCCAAGGAAAGAGGAAGAGGAGGAGGAAAAGGCTACTCGGTTCCTTGGAGATGTACTAGCATCGGATATTTGTGCTTACTCGGATGGATCGTCGGAGAGACATGGTCGCTCAGCATGGGGTTTCTTCTTGAAGAGAGATGGAAAGACTCTGTTGAAGGGATGCGGCATGAAGCATGGTGGTGAAGTGCTCGATGCGGAAATACTAGGGGCGAGGAAGGCCCTGGAAGCTGCGCTAGGATTATTGGAGAGAGAGAACGGGAGAAGTAACGACGGGCAGTGGATCAACGTGTTGACGGATAGTCAGTCTGCAGTGAAGGCACTGCTGACGGGAACCGCCACAACAAGTCTCGACGATTTACGCCAATTTAGGGCGCTATCAGAAAAGGCTCGAGTCTCGGTTCAGTGGATACCAGCCCACTCCGGGATACAGGGAAACGAAGAGGCTGATAGGGTTGCACGCTCCGGCCTCCGACAACTTCCAAGTAAAGAGAGCCAGCCTGGCTCCGTCACTTTGGCGTACGTTCGTCGTCTGATGAACCAGAAACGTCAAGCTCTTCTCGAGGAATGGTGGGAGGAAGCATGTCCACCTGTAACGGCTGGTAAGCCGATTGGTCCCTGTAGCCTATGTTGGTTAACTTAGGCCTGATTCGAGTGGCGTTATTAATGGCTACCAATGCGCTAATATGCGACGCCACCCAATACAATACTTTTGCGTCGGCATTTGCATGGTATTCACATGGCATCGGACTCGGCAGTGCGGCACGGCAGTACGGCACTGCACCACATGTTGATAGGCTTACACTGACTGGGAATATACGAGACCGAGTACAATCCTTCCGGACCATAACGCGATAGTGCTGTATTACAGGCATAGTCAGAACACTAGGGGAGTCCCATAGCATAGAAACAGGAGAGGGATTAGCCTTGGTGGCGAGGAGGCTTTCACGTATATAAATGAATAGATAGATGTAGTGGAAGTTCTCTCCTTAGAATTATTATTCACTACCATCGACCACATAGTTGCCCCAGCACTTGTCCCTCGAAACCGTGACACCACCTAGGTATCGAAATCTGGGTCTACTCATGCGACGACGCAAGCCACAGGAGCAGGCACTTTCTCGGCGGCTACTCCGTGAACTGATCTCAGCCCGAACGGGACACGGAAACTTCGCTGCATGTCACCGTCGTTTCAATAACTTCACCGCTTCCATGGAGTGTGCGTGTGGAGAGGAAATATCACCTCTCCACTTCATTCACTGTCGACTGCACGAATGTCAGACGCGTCGACTCCGAGGGACAATGTCACATCATGACTTTGTCCAAAAGCTTCTCGGGCCTAAGTGCCTTGAGGATTTTACAAATTTTGCGCAGGAAACTGGCTGCTTCGGCGACTCACCTGCAAGTCCGACACCAGCTCTCAGCGGAGACAACATTAACTAGGTCATAGCACGAAGCATGACAGGAAGGAAAACGAGACGAGGAGTGTCGCTTTCCCACCTCAAATTGGAGTATTGGATTTGGAATTTTGGTTATGGGAGTCTGTGGGAGCATTTATATTCTTTCTAATAACTAGCTACTGGTTGTGTAGTGGGTCACGCAGTGAGACCGAGTCGGGCATGTGGGAAGCATGATCTTGGCCGTGTACACCGGTCCTTGACTCCTAGGAGATATAGAGCATAGCTTAGGACCTAAAATTTATATAAAAAAAAGAAAAAACAAACAAACTCCGAGGCAACAGCTACGTTGATCAGAAAGATAGCGACGACCAGCCAAAATAAACCGTGTGATTTTCTAATTCAATGGACTAATTTTGTTACAAAGTAGATGTTAGAGACCTGAAGTTTGGAGACCATACATTATTTGGAGGAGGAATGCTGTCAGGGGACCAAATGCTGTATTAGACTAGGGTGAAGTGTATGGGTATATACTTGACTCTCGTGTACAAGAACCCCCTTTACTCTTCCACCGCACAACACAGTCATCTACTGATTACTTATCGTCTTGACTTATTCCTGTTACTTATTCAGTTATCCAGATCCACAGTTGTGACGGGAAAACAATATGCTTCATTTCTTTTAGAAATTCTCATGATTCCTCTCATCAATATCCATAGCCTCTGCGAGACCATAAATTAGATCCTATAAGTGGCTGCTCGCCAGCTTATTAATGCCGAGACCCATAATAAGGCTCGTCGCCGTTAGTATTGAGTCTTCGGGAGTCTGTATAAGATATGAATCTAGTGTTAGGCCCAAATTTGCAAATGGCGTAGTCCATTCCACCATCGACTTCGTATCTTGACAATCCGGCCAAAAACTGGCCAGCAGAGTTGATCATAACGTAATGATAGGTGTAAGTTGCTATCAAAATATTCAACAGGCCGCGAATAAAAAGGAGAGGAGTAGGGAATCCGCACCTGGATTTCCGACGTAATCACCTCCAATGCGTCCAAGGAAAAGCGTTTCCCCGGGGAATCGGTCAAAGGTGCATGTATTCAAGCTAGAAATAGCAGCACGTTGGGTAATTGCATATACCTCTGCGGCAGCTACCTGGACTTGATATGCATTGTAGGATATAGGTGTATGACAATTCATCCCAAAGTTCACGTCTAAAACAGGAAGTTTCGGTTCTCTTCGAAATTTTGGGTCTTCATCAAATACTTCAAATGATGCTGAGATATCGACGAGTAAAGCCACGGCGGCGATGGAAAGAAGCTTCATTTCGCGGAGAGCCTGTATCGTTTGGCTTGGGATCTGACGGGCTGGATATAAGGGAATGTCGGGTGTCGAGTGGATGTAGATGGGAAAGATGAAGAATTTCTGGCAGACGAATTTTCTGCACAGCTAGCGATTCCTTTATATGTGTAGGATTTGGATGGGCAGAGTCCTCATCATTTCTTCCCTCGCGAGCTCGATCCGAAAGAATTCATCGTCCCGGCGCGACGAGTCTACGCGGGAGTCTACTGATGATTCCTTTCATTTACCCGTGGATTTTGGTTATAAGATTAATGCCGCGCTTGCTAGTAATAAATCACTGGCTAATCACGTACAGACACTAGGTTGCGCGTTTCCGGCCATGAAAGAGTACCAGGTTTCACCAGTATTGGCGGTCAACCGAATCTTACAGCACTCATGATGCTTGCGACGGACCTGAGGATCCAAAGACTTCCGCTTGGCCAATTCTCTTCTTACTTCAAATCCTGGTTCCACTCATAGCTCTATCTTGCCTGTGGATACAATCTTAATCCTGCCTCCCTATAGAAAGGTGTCTGGCTGTGAGTAGCTCCCAAATCTACATCCCGACACTTGAAATTTACATGGGGATGAATCTCAATACCTATCAGTTTTTTCCCTTATGAACCTCCAGCTTTCACTCTAGAGTCTGCAGAGCCAAGTCTGAGTAACGCCGTCCTCATCTCTCGGCACAATCTCCCGACGTCATTACTATGAAGATGACGGTTGAACTATATGAGCGTTGTTTAATCACAATCATCCCTGCTCGCTAAGATAACGGAGTTGTGGTTGTGATTATTGTTTGGTTTGGAGTAAAAAGGGAAAGGCGTTTGGAGATCTTACATACCCTGTATTTTTGGAATTTGATTTCATTTAGCCCATAACGTGTATCAGTACCCTAGGTAAACTCATATCACAATACTTAGACCTGTACTTATAGCGCACACTTCCCACTCTTCTAGTCAATCATTTTCGTTAAAGAACTATCGCGCCCATTTCATTGCGCCATATAACCAGCACTATCGCATGAGTTTCCAGAGTATATCCAATGTCTCGCCCGGCCAGGGCTGCAGGTTTTTAAGAGTAATGCCCTGCACGCAGTTTCAGTTACTACCATATACATTTTTTTGGGTAGAGGATACAGTAGAAAATGAGGCTGGATTTTACGGGTAAATACTGAGTTAAATGGCACTTCATGGGTACAAACCCGATATCTTTTTTTCGTAAGAGGAGAGGAGAGTGTTGTGGTCAATCGCCTTTGATACTCGGACTTCACTATAATCTATGGTTATATGGCACGTGATTCGATACGGGGAGAAGGAACAGAAAGGCGAAAGCCGCTGGCCAAGCCAGGCCCATTGGCCCACTTGTAAGTGATTATATCCATGTGTGTGCGAAGGAGTAATCCCAAAGAGTACAGCGACGATAGTACGGAACTTACACTTCACATATTAATCACCCGCACTCACGACGCGAAACTCAATGAAAGAGATCTGTGCCTTGCATTCATCGCCTTTCAGCTCCAGTTGTGTGACTTGCCATGATTTGCGTAGAAGAATGATTGGTTTAACGATGTTCGTTCCATTTTTTACAGCGGCCATCGCAGAAGAAAAATATATTGTACATTTTGACTGCCGAGAGATTCTCCCGCTCCTAATTTCCAGCCAGTTCCGGATACCCACGCCGTGAGTCACAGCAGAGTTGACTCTAATCACAGGTCCGTTTTACATCGGTGAAAATAGATGGAGGTATATTGTGGACTGACCGGACGACGCCTGGAAATACCAAGCTCGCTACATCGACCAATTGCCGAGAATAAATGCTTCATTCCCTTGGCAGGTACTTAGTACCGTTCTTATTACCCAAACCAACTTCTACCAGATCCTCTACTAGATTGTCCGGGAGTTCCTCTGCCAGATCCTATTGGCGGTTGCTGAAAATGTGGATCATATTTAGAGACGTCGTAAACTTCGTCGTCTTCAGTATGGAGTTGTCGGGAGTTTGCGTAAGATTCGTAACCGGTATAAATTGAAAATTTACAAGGACTGTAAGCCATCTCCCTATAAGCTGGGTATTCCAGCATTCCGGCCAAAAAGGTGCCGATCTCGTCAATAAGGATATTATGGTACGCGTACCCGACTGACGAACCAAGTTAGCGCGCCGCCAACTTGAAAGACAGGGGTTGGAAATTCTTACCATCTGGGACGTAGTGATTACCGACAACATATTTGTAAACAGTTACCCCAGGAAAACGGGTAAACGTGCCTGCTTGCAGTTCACCTCTCATATATTGACTGTAAGCTTCTTTGGCAAATTTCCGTATATGTTTTGCCCGGTAAGCCTGGGCTGAGAGACATTTCATCTCAAATTTATCGTCTAAACGAGGAAGTTTCGGTTCGCTTTGAAAGGTTTGGTTGTCATCAATTAAGTAAAATGAGGCTGAGATATCGACGAGTAAAGCCACGGCGGCGATGGAAAGAAGCTTCATTTTGCGGAGAGCCTGTATCGTTTGGCTTGGGATCTGACGGGCTGGATATAAGGGAATGTCGGGTGTCGAGTGGATGTAGATGGGAAAGATGAAGAATTTCTAGCAGACGAATTTTCTGCACAGCTAGCGATTCCTTTATATGTGTAGGATTTGGATGGGCAGAGTCCTCATCATTTCTTCCCTCGCGAGCTCGATCCGAATGAATTCATCGTCCCGGCGCGACGAGTCTACGAGGGAGTCTACTGACGATTCCTTTCATTTACCCGTGGATTTTGGTTGTGAGATTAATGCCGCGTTTGCCAGCAACTAATCAGCTAAAAATGTCGAACAGGCCTCGCCTTGCGCGTTGTCGATCATGGAGGAGAACTAGTTTCTAGAAGGATTCGCGCTCGTCAGAATCTTCCATCCCTCAAGTCGCTAGCTCACGAAGAAAGGATACAAACACACCTGCCTCTGCCAATTCTTTTTGCACATCAGATCCTGATTCCAGCCATGGCTCTGTCCCGATCTTGGATGCAATCTAAATCCTGCCACTCTCAGCCAGGCCTCTGGCTATGAACGACTTCCAAACTCACATCCTCGACACTAGGGATTCATGCCAAATTCCTGAGATTAGAGCCTGTGCGCATACCAGCGTATGCTGGATCAAAGGAGGCTTTGGTCCCGTCTTGAATCAGTCTAGAGTGCCTAGTAATAGTTGGAATTGGAGACGTGAGTTAGACCACACTTGGCAGAAGCCAGGGGCAGGCATATGTCCTGACCACTGGTATCATCGGTCGGAACTTATGGTTGCTTAATCAGCTCTAAATACGATAGCTGGCATTCTAACCACTATCTCAGTCTACATTACTTAAGGAGTTTGTAGAGGTGGTGTAGTTACTCGTAATTTAGATGAGACTGTTATGGCTCGGGACTCTCCATACCAGATTCTCGGATTGATCAGTATCGAGATTTGGATTAGGCAGAAGGTTATCTAACCCACATCTATCGATAACTTCATGCTCTTACATGAGATATAGAAGTAGTCATATACATGGCATATATTACTAGTTTATTGGTTAGGCGAGCATCTATATAATTTCAAAGATGTACCAACGACAAACAGACTCAGTCCCATTCTTATACTTTCCGTCCATCTCCCAACGGCATAGTCTTCTGTGATTCCATTCACAGTTACTAACAGCTAATAAGGAGGGCCAGACTGACACCTTTACGTGGTGCCTTCTACGAATCTGGGAGTGAAACATTCTCGCAGAGCCAAGTTCAGTCAAATTTCGTAATATCAAAGAAGTTGGCCCACGAGGCAATGATTCAAACTACTCCACCACGTCAATCTTTCACTCCCAATGAGATAGAATTCTACCTATGCCTCATCAAGTCTACAAGTACGACCTAGTACATCCTCATTCCAATGATCACACTTCTCGTCGACTTTCTCTGGCCTCAGCCGGTCACCAAATACACGCCCACGCCGATATTTATACCCGACGGAGGACACAAAGCGTGGCGCACAAATCTGGGAGATACCTCTTTGGGATTGGCGTAAGAGGATTAAGAACAAGTTAACAAGATGATGCGACGGATGGATATAGTCTCGACAGGCGTGAAATTTCGAATCTTGGCAAGGAGTTTTTACAAAATGAGCTTTGTGCGTGCCAAGTCTTCGGTCGCGAGAGTGCAGGCGACACTATAAACACCGCCATGGTTGAATGGTGCAATGGTGCATTGTCTTGGCCGGTCTGCCAAGTAGAGTCTGGATAGCTTGGACACATATTCCACTCGAGACAGTAGATGGCTGGTTCAAATCCGGCAAAACACAACCATATTTCTCGCGGTGCTGGTATGCTTGGATAACCAAATGTTTTGAATCTCCCTTTGGTGGGTACTTACGGAGGAGGGTCGACTGTTTGTGTAAGCGAACATACCTCATAGTGGTATTTTCGAATGAAGTCTAGAGTATGAGTGTCTCTAACGTCAAAAGAGTCATCCAACATGTAAACATAGCACCGGTCATGTGTCATAGCAAGATAGCTGAATACATATGAAATGATTTAAAAAAAAGAAGCAGCCTGTAAGCTATGCAAAAATTTTAAACTTCTCTAACCCTACATGTCCGGGGAGTTGCCTGGTAAAAGCATCTAAGCTCAAGTCTTTTGAAGTTTCTCGTCAGAAGCAGTGGCATGTGTAAGTGTGAGTGAAGTAACCGAACAGCTGGAAGGTGATTCAATTAGCTTTGCACTAGTCGTGGTTCAACCCTCTGCTGCTGAGTTATTATATTGCTGACTCAGCTAATATCGAGAACTGGACGTTCGTACTGTTCATGGAAGGAATAGAATGGTATTTAATTTAGTTTCAGTCTCTACCGAATCTGTAACTATAAAGAACTGCTATGACTTTGTGAAAAGCTCTGATATAAAATATGAACATGTTAGTTGTTATTTTCAATAGTTGCCAGGACGTAAAAAAGATCTCACGTCACCGAGGATTACTCCAGGTGGGTGTCGAACCCACGACTTTCGCATGACTCAAGCCAGATCATATCAGTATCTTTAGTGACTGATATAAGAACGACACGCTAACCACTGCGTCACTGGGGTTGGATCCTGTGCAGAAAAATACACATAAGAAATATTTCACTTTTGTACCTTTTGTTTTCCATTGAACTAACCTTGCGCATAGGTAAAATAAGGCCAGGCGACACAAACGTCACTTTCTTATATAATTCAGAGTTAGTCATTATTTACAGCGAGTATTAATATCATTTTTTTAAATGGCTATATATATGGTTTACACACAAGGAGTTGGATCAGGATACTTTTTTTTCTTGCATCTGATTTTAATTGCGCATGCAGCTATCTAGCTATGACTCAATATCAGAAGAGTATATAATAGATGACTCAATTTAAAAGTAGAGCACTCATGCCTCGGATTTCATTTGCAAGTACCACTGCGAAGTTATGGCGGCTTTTTCTTCACCCCAAGTCAGCCCTCATCTGTGAATACCCACCCAGGGGAACGTCTCAAAAACCCTGAGTTATCCAGACATGCCTCCGTCAACCATCAATTTTTCTCCGCGCGAAATATAATCTGAGATGTCTCCTTCCCAAGTGGAGTTGGTGCCCAGGCTACTCAAACTATACCAGAGAACATCACCAGGAGGCGGACCATGGCACCATCCATCGTTTGCTTGTGTTTATAGTGTCAGCTGCACTTTTCTCACACACTTGGATATATGTTATTCGTAGACATAGCTCTGCTCTTTAGCTTTATCACCTTTTAAACTTGGGTTCTTGCTTGCCATATTCTACGTGTCATAACAATTTTGTTAAAAGGGAAAAAACAAGAGCCACTAACACAGCCGGCAAACCCGAAAGCAAACAGGTTATCTAATATCGATAATTTTTAATAAAATTTGGACCCAACTTTTTAACCCGAGTCCTTTAACTTACTCATGCCACAAACTAAGTCGCCTCAACGACTGAATAAGTTGTCGCGCCAAGTGTACATGGGAAGTCGCCTCATTGGATATCGACTATATACCACTTTAAAGTTACGATGCTGTGTTTACCCAACAGGGGGGGATTAATTCATAATTTAAAATATTTGGGTCTTTGGTTACGGTGGGGTATTGCTACCGAAGGACTTTACGACTTTAGGATGGAAAGGCGGTTGGGACGTGAAATGAAAGGGGGAAGAGGTCGCTTTTATTTAAATCATTTAATGTGTATTCAGCTACAAAGCTATGACACATGACCGGTGCTATGTTTACATGTTGGATGACTCTTTTGACGTTAGAGACACTCATACTCTAGACTTCATTCGAAAATACCACTATGAGGTATGTTCGCTTACACAAACAGTCGACCCTCCTCCGTAAGTACCCACCAAAGGGAGATTCAAAACATTTGGTTATCCAAGCATACCAGCACCGCGAGAAATATGGTTGTGTTTTGCCGAATTTGAACCAGCCATCTACTGTCTCGAGTGGAATATGTGTCCAAGCTATCCAGACTCTACTTGGCAGACCGGCCAAGACAATGCACCACTGCACCATTCAACCATGGCGGTGTTTATAGTGTCGCCTGCACTCTCGCGACCGAAGACTTGGCACGCACAAAGCTCATTTTGTAAAAACTCCTTGCCAAGATTCGAAATTTCACGCCTGTCGAGACTATATCCATCCGTCGCATCATCTTGTTAACTTGTCCTTAATCCTCTTACGCCAATCCCAAAGAGGTATCTCCCAGATTTGTGCGCCACGCTTTGTGTCCTCCGTCGGGTATAAATATCGGCGTGGGCGTGTATTTGGTGACCGGCTGAGGCCAGAGAAAGTCGACGAGAAGTGTGATCATTGGAATGAGGATGTACTTGGTCGTACTTGTAGACTTGATGAGGCATAGGTAGAATTCTATCTCTTTGGGAGTGAAAGATTGACGTGGTGGAGTAGTTTGAATCATTGCCTCGTGGGCCAACTTCTTTGATATTACGAAATTTGACTGAACTTGGCTCTGCGAGAATGTTTCACTCCCAGGTTCGTAGAAGACACTGCGTACAGGTGTTCAGTCTTGCCCTTCGGGAAGAGGTCGCTGTTAGGCTCGGTGGGGCTTACGATTTTCACGGGTTTCACGGCTTTGTAATTTATAAGGGTGCCAAGATCGAAGTCTCGGCTAGATAGCTAGGACTTCTATTGTCGACGAGTCAGTGGCATTCCCCAGTATCCTGGACGGCGCAGTGAAGTCAGGCTAAGCTATAACACAGCAATTAAGCTTTATCAAGAAGTTTCTAAAAATCCAGCATAAATTTAGGCAAAGAGTTGGGAGGAGGCTAGGAAGGGAAATACTACTAGATAAGTATCCTAGGCCTGTAGGTAAAGAGGATTTACATATCATGATATTGTCATGGAATCAATAGGACAAAGTAGATAACGCAACCACGCGAGGCTGGACAATCGTCTGAGTTTTGCAGGATAGTGAAGTGGTACATTATCCGGGCCGTTCGCC